ATGGCGGGTGGCCTCAGGCCTTTATGAAGCAGCAATTAGCTGCTGAGCATACATGTATATACGTTCTATATTCGAATCTATTCCTAGGCCGAAGCCGAATCCCAGCTACGTTCTTGCAACCCCCGTCACACCTAATATATCTAGTTAAATTATATTTAGTTTTTCTAGATCATAAAATATAAGAATTAGTGTTTCTCTAACTAATTCCTTGACTTTCTTAAATACTTGCTATTATTATTCTATCTAATTAAATTCTTGATCTTTTCATAGTAATTTTATGATTAGTTGTGTTATTTCTATGTAATTTTTTAAGTATCTTCTAATATATTCTATTATACCTAAGAATTACTATATTTTATTAATATTTATTAGAATAGGCTAGTTAAATATTATATCTTTCTTTTTAGATTAGATCTTTAATTTTTCTAGTATGTAAACCATTCTTAGATAATTAATAATTGTAGTATTAAATTTATATTTTTTAATCTTAAATATCAATTCTTTATTTATAAATGCTATTATAACTAGTTATATATATTCTTTATATTCTTCTGGGTTTTATAAGTATATAATAATATTATTAAAGTAGACTGTAATAAACTTGTTTAAGTACTTCTATAGAATATATGTTATATATTATATAAATTATACTGATAGATTCTTTAAACCTATTAGTATAACTATCCATTTAAATAATCTTTTATCTATAAAGAAAGCTATTTTCTAAATATCATCTTTAGCTATTTGTAGGTTATAATAACCCTATTGAATATTAAAAACTATTATAATCTTTACTTCTTATAATAGATCTCTTTTTTATTCTTAATAAGATGTCTTATTTATATTATCTATTATTCTATTATTTAGTATTTTATAGTTGATAATCATTTATTTAATTATATCTTTCTTATTAATAAATATTAATTATATTAATACTTTTCCATATCCTAATTATATATACATTGCTTTATAAAACTTATTAGTAAATTTATTCTTAAATTCTAGTTTATCTCTTAACTTATAATATTATTTAACTAATAATAGTATAAATCCTTTTTTCAGTTTAATTTATACTTTAAATTCTTCATTATGTATTAATAATTGCTATTCTTTTTTTATAAATAGTTCAATAAATTTATGGTACTTTTTTAATAGCTTTACTAAAACTTCTATAAGTTCCTTTTCATATAATTCTTTTAGCTTTAGCTTTATTTTCTATGTTTTTTTAGTAATTCTTATCTTATCAATTATTTGTACTTGCTAGATCATCTTAATTTTTTTTATATTATTATTTCTTATTCTTTTCTCTTTTTTATTACTTAGATTTCTTTGATTATTTTATAACTTTTCTATATTTTATATTTTATTTTCCTTATTAATATATTTAATATTTTCAGTAAACATCATCTTCTATTCCTATTCTTTTGCCTTCCATACTGACCTTTCAGCTTCTAATAATGTACTAAGGATTTTCCCTAATTCCTTATATAGCTATATAATTTCTTTAATATTCTTTTTAATCATTCATGTCTTTAATACTATTTTATTAATAATCACTATTCCTTTAATCCAGTCAATTATTGGATTTTGGGTTCGTAACTATGCTATTTTAAATATAGCATTATAATATTCTCTTAATATTAGTATAATATCAAGCGTAATTATTATAGTGTATTATCCTAATTTTATAACAATATTTAATACCTATCTTTTATAGCCTTAACTAATTATTTTTCTACTGATAGAGATAATTATTATCTATTTATTAATCTAGATTATAAATAATCCTGCTTTTTTCATAAATTTTTCTTCAATATAGTTATAGGCTGCTTCTAAATCTAATAAGATTCTTATATTTTTCTTATTAATTTTTATTAGTATTACTACTGTTTGACTAACTGCTTTTAATTTTATAATTATTATAATAAGTTTTATTATAATTATATACCTTTCTTAATACTTTTATTAATATTTAAAGTATTTTTTAATATTATAATAATACTATTTATACAATCTTTCTGCTTTGCATTTAATGATTATAATATTATTATAATAAAAATATGTAGGTTCTTGATAAATACACTAATATTCTATTCATTCTTATAAATATTTAAGTCTTAATTCTTTAATCATTTCTAGGATTCTTAGAAACCATCTTTTTTGTTCTTTTTCCACAAGATGCATTTTGCATAATAAATTATAATATATTATCTAATATACTTCTTAATACAAATTTCCTTCTAATACTAGATAATGATAATAAGAGCAATTCCTTATATGTCTAGTCATTCTATTACAAAAGTATCATCCTTACTTATATAATATATATTTATATATATTTGCTAGAGATATATACATTTATCTATATTATTAGCATATATAATATATCCATTCTTTACAATACTTGCATTCTTTAATATAATTTTTCTATTTCTATTAAAATCTCTTCTAGTAAGTTGCGTTTACTAATATATAATTATACTAGTTATTCTCTTAAGGCTAAATAATATTATTCTATACTTCATTTAGTTTTTCCTCAACAAGATTTTCATCTGATTCTCGGTATAGATCCTTATAAGTTATTATTATTAGCTCATTATCTTATAATATTAGTTAAGTATAAAGCAATTCTTCTAATAAGAATTTTATTTAAATATCCTTTATACTAAAGTCTTCTGTGTCAATTTCTTTTAAATTAATATTTTTATTATATCTTTCTAATAAGTCTTTAATATTTTTAAGATAATATATGAGAAATATCTAGCTGATTGATTTTTCTTCTAAATTATAAAATTAGTATCTCTTTCTTATATCAATATTAACTTATCTTGTTTATTCAATACTTCTTTTAAGATTGAATCTTTTCTATTTCTATTTTTTATCTTTATTATTTAAATTATTAAGCATTTTCTTTAATTATTTTAAAGCTTTCTACTCTTTAATTTATTATATCTATTCTGCTTAAATTTATTTATAATTTATTATCTATTTTAATTATTATTCTTTATCTTCAACTAATTGCTTTAAGTCTTTATTGAAATTAATCTTATTATTAGTTATTCCACCAGCTTTGCTATTATTAATTATAACTAATAGAATTATTATTATAACTTACTTTTTTGAATCTAAAGTGGCTAGTTTCTAGTTCTTTCTTAATTTTTAGTATTAATTTATAAAATAACCTGATTTTTTATAATTAAAACAAGCTTTATTTTTTCTCAATTTATCTTTTTCTTCTTTAAATAAAATTATATTTAGTTATATTATTATATTTCTATCCTTATCTTTAGTTTACTTCTAATATAAATTTATTTTATTTTTTCTAAACTCTTCTTTTTCTATTTATTAGATATATATAATTAAATTAATCTAGGATATTACCTCTATTATTGCTTAAAATATTTCTAGTTATAATATCATCATTAAGATTTAATTTTTAATATTATTCTTCAGTCCTTTATAAAACTAGTCTTTAAATTCTTGATTATTCTATAAAAGTTTTTTTAATGTCTATAAGAATTTTGAAATATATTTTTTAACTAAGATTTATTATTTAATATATTAGATCTTATTAATAGCTTTGATTTCCTTATTAATAGTTTCTCATAACTAATTAAATTTTTCTTTATAGTACTAATAATTAGAAAACATTATAATTATCTTAAGATTTCTTTATTCTTTATTATTATATGTGCAGTACTAATTAATAATATATAGAATAAACCACTTTATAGTCTCTTTATTAAGAAAGCTTAATGCTGCTAGTACTTTATTAAACTCATTTATAATTTATTCACTATTATATATAAAATAGAGTTATATTTAAGTAAGATATATCTTAAGAATTCTATATTCTTTCTTAAATAGAGTTACTATTCTAATCTTAATTTCTTAAAATATTTAATTTAATCTTCTTTTATTATTAATTATAACTTATTTTAATTTTTCAATATATTATAATAGTGCTATTATATCTTTATTATTAGTAATTATAATATTCTTACTACTAGTGTTAGTAGTTTATAAATTAAGACTTGAAATTACTAGGACTAGGATTTAAGATGTTATTATTACTTATCCTTAAGACTTCTCTTTTAACTAAGAGTCTTGAATTATTAGAAACTTTAATTTAATTACTATTGAGTATAGCTAGAATAACTATTAACAGGCAAAGTTAATAAGCTTCTAAGATTAAAAGGTCTTGATAGACAAAAGAAATAAAAATAAGGCTATAAATATTCTGATTAATAAAAGATTATATACTTAAATTATTATAATTAATTTAAGACAATAGAAGAAAATTAAATATATAATAAATAAGCATCCTTATATAGCTTTCCTCTATTATATCCTTCATAAAAATCCTCTGATTTTTCTAATACATAGATTATAGCCATTATAAAAATCCTCTGATTTCTCTGATACATAGATTATAGCCATCATAGAAATCCTCTAATTTCTCTAATACCCTAACCCTAAGGCCTCGCAGGTAATCCTTTGTTCCGATGTGCATTAGTCCCATAGTGACTAACCTGATCCATTGGCTGTGACGTTCTGATTCTCTGACAAGTTGACTCATTTGACGCGCTCGGAGTTGAGTGATCCGCTCGGTGGTGTGATCCGCTCGGGTGTGGATTACGTTAGCAGCTCGCCGTGTTTAGTGATCAAGGAAAAAGCCCTACGTGGGCAAGCTGCCGCCAAACTCAACGGGGGAAACGGATGCTTAGCTGCGTCGCATGCTAGCACATGCAGCGTCATTCAGTGGTGATGGATCTTTTGTTATATGCTCTGTTGCCCGGGTGTCTCACTCGGGTCCCTATTGAAATATGTGCCTCCCTGAGAACAATCCGGCGCAAGGAAAGGGCTCTACATACTATGTCGGATGAATGATTTCTTTCCTCATATCTTGCCCTCTTTCCATTCTCTGGACTGAATTGACATTCTATATCATCATTTGTTGGACGCACGGCTGCTTCCCGATTGTTACCTGCGTCCTCACCATGCCGGGAAAGACGCAGACGATCGAGGCTGCTGTGGCCACGCCACCCGTGAAGGAGAGCGACCAAAACACAAGTGCCGACAGTCAGCAAAGCAACGAAAAGGCTGTCGAAAAGGGCCCCCAAGAACCGGCCGGCCCGGCGCCGCCACAGTTCGCGGATGGTGGATGGGCGGCCTGGAGCACAGTGGGCGCGGGATGGTGCTGTATGTTCGTGAGTCTGGGCTGGATCAACTCGATTGGTGTCTTTCAGACGATCTATGAAGAGGACCTGTTGAAGAACTACTCGTCTAGTACAATAGCATGGATCATGTCGTTACAGACCTTCATCATGTTCGGCGGCGCGCCGTTCTTTGGAAAGGTCTTCGATAGCTACGGGCCGCGCTTCCTCCTTCTAGGGGGCACGTTCTTCCACGTCTTTGGTTTGATGATGACGTCTCTAGCCAAGGAGTATTATCAATTCATCCTCGCCCAGTCAGTATGCAGCGGCTTGGGTGCCAGTGCCATCTTCTACTCATCAACCAACTCCATCGCGACGTGGTTCAGAAAGAATAGAGCCATGGCTTTGGGTATTGCATCCTCAGGCTCGGCATGCGGAGGCGTGGTAATTCCGTAAGTTCATCCCCCTTTTTTTTATTTTTGCTTGATCTAATATCAGAGGCGAAGTCAAAGCCGGCGTGTGTACTAACCACGCCACAGCATTTTGATTGCACAAATGTATCGTAAAGTCAACTTTGGCTGGGCCGTTCGTACCGCGGCATTCATCTTCCTGGGCTTGCTAGCTATTGCCAACGTCTTTCTTCGGTCTGCACTGAAGCACAAGCCCAAGCCTTTCCGCGTTACGGACTTTGTGAGTCCCCTCAAGGAGCCTCGCTTCATCTTGGTGTCTATGGCCTGCTTTATGATCTTCCTGGGCGTTTTCCTACCAGGAAACTTCATCGTCCTCGACGCAATACGCCACGGCATGAACGCAAACCTGGCCTTCTACCTCCTTGCTGTATTGAATGGCGTCAGGTAAGGTTTTCCCGCTGCTTTCACAATCGTGTACCGAGATTGAGAATAGGACTAACCCTGTCTGACCTCAGTGCTCTCGGCCGTATCATTGCGGGAAGGGTGGCCGACAAGATTGGCCGATTCAACTGTATGATCATCGTGAACATGCTGTCCGCTATTTTCGTGCTCGGATTTTGGATACCGGCCCACACAAACCCAGAGCTGTTGGTCTTCGCAGCCTTCATCGGCTTCACGTCGGGGGCATTCGTGGCCATGGTAGCCGCCGTCATCGGTCAGATCTCAGATATTCGCCAGATCGGTGTCCGCAACGGAACCAACTTCTTCTGTGTCAGCTTTGCCGCCTTGATCGGTAACCCTATCGCAGGCGCTCTCATCCAACGCGACGATGGGGGCTATTCGTACATGCAGATATTCTCCGGTGCTGCCTTTTTTGTCGGGACATGTCTGTTCTTTTCCGCGCGGATTGTACAGGCTGGACCGGGTTGGACAAAGATTTAGACATTTCTCGCGTTGCATGGATAAAAACAAAAGAACAAGAAGCTTGCATTATTCGATTAGCGATTATTCATCATCCGGTAATACAGTTTTCATCAGTTAGCGGGTTGAGCAGGTCAAGTAGTTCACTCACTATCGAAAAAGTCGATCTAAAACTATTTATTGGTGCTAGATAACTGCAGTTTAAACCAGGAGTTAAATGTGAAGCTAGCTAACATTAGCTACAGTACCATCATTGGGCAGTTTCTTAGAGGCGTTGTGTCTCCAATGTCTTGTCTAATAGTTGCTGATCTGTTGAAAGACTTTATGGTCCATGGCTATTATGCCTATAATAATATTTATTTGACTGGAAATACTTCATAGAATGTAATTGCTATGTCGTTTTTGATGCTATTATTACTGCTTGCTAGTATATTCTTTATTTGAAATGGCGTCGCTGGCGTATGATTTCAAGGTTTTTCAGAAAGATAGAGGCCTGAAGTATTTAATTTTGAAGGCTTAATGGCAACCATCGAGCATAACAGCCCCAGAGAGACGAAGAAAGTTGCAGCACGAATCTTGGGATAGTGGTACTCCCGATCCAGCCAGAGCTGAACAATGTTAGGGGGGTTCCATAAGCCCAGCTCACCCACATCCCCATAGAATTAGAACGCAGCCAATGTACCTAGCAGGCCAAACACGGGGATTACATTCCCAAAGAAAAGCAAAGCAAATATCTGACCCTTGAATCGATTGCGAGAGCCAGGGATGTACATACCGACAGGCAGGGGGATCACATCCGGGTTTCTCCAGTGGTTTGCGCGGTCACCTCCCCTGACTTGCAGGGTAGCACTGAAACTGTTCCAAATGCCCATATTTAGCAACTGCCAGCTAGTACATGACTTGTTTGGCGTATGCCCTGCATTTATCAAACGCCCGCTGCCGAAGCCAATGCAGAAACTTCGCAAGCCAGCACGCACGCCATACACAGCCAAAATTCCCCAACAATATTTTTTTTTCGTTTCGGCTCCATCCGAATGTTGTTCAAGTTTCTGCCATTGCAAACTTAGACGGGGAACCGGGCTGAACGATCATGTAGTAGTGTACTAACTCTGGATCGGTGTCCCTCCATCCACGTGGTTCGGCTAGAACCCTAAAAACGCAACCAACCTTGTATTCTTCCGCGTTGCTATCGCGTGATTCGGAGCTCTCGCTAGCTATCTAAAATATAATCCGTAATATATGCAGCTGTCTGTGGAAGAGCTGCGCATCTAAAGCTCCCACCGACGTCGACTGGACTATGGCGGACCTGCGAACGCTTGTCGGTATTGATGTGGGTGAGTAATGGACCAAACACCTTTCATTGGGTTGGTTTGCCCAATTAATAGAGCATAACTCGGTTAGGCGGCACAAACACCGACGCCGTGTTGATAGATGGAGACACAGCCTCGCCGGCACGGAAGAGAGCATTCTAGCCAGCCGCAAGACACCCATCACGCGGCATGTTGGTGGTAGCATTGCTCTTGCTCTGCACAAGGTCTTGGATCAGTGGACTGACACTGCCCGTCAGAGAATTATTGATAGTTTAATCAGGATCAACATTGGCACAACGGTAATGCAACCTGGCCATGTATCCATATTGTTGGTGGAATATTGGAGCCGACTAGAAACAACAGCAATTCTTGAAGGCAGTCATTGAGCGTGACTCGGAAAACTATCTCGTGTTGCTCTGTTGTGTCTCTGTGGACCATATACTCGCGAACTACCGGGCTTTGGGGTACCACCTGAACTGTGGCACATAATCGAGGGCACCACTGTGTACCTTTCTGGTGGTCTGGAGTGTATGTTGCTTCCCTTCAGGAAGCTCGGTTCAAAATCGGATATTAATCTGAAGGTTAGGCAATGGAAAACTCATCGCACCATTGATGAAGCCCTAGCTAAGGGTGTGTTGAATCCGCAGATTGTTGAGAAAACAACGATTGGTCTTTCATCCTCATCGACACGTGAAGTAAGAATGGTTACAACCGCTGTGGGAGACGCTCCATTGAATAGGCCAACGGAAGACAATACAGACAGCAATACAGATCCTATTTTACCAAAGTCACTACGTGAACAGGATCAACCCTCCAATGTATCAAAACATCACGCCATCATAACTGACCCCACCAAAATGCCAGAACTTACCGTCCTGCAGTGTCTTCAGAGACATGGACGCTCTCAGAAACGGATTTCTTCTTTCTCTCGGAAGGATGCGGCATTCTGGGGTGCGGAGGTGGTGGTGACCCATATCCGAGCTTTCTTTCTGCCCTGTCTTTGCTTCAACAAGGGGAGCCTATTTACGTTGTAGTTCCGACGAGCATTCCCGCCGGGGCTGCTGTGCCAGCAGTTGGGTTCATGGGCTCACCTAATATATTATCAGAGCGTTTTCCATCTGGACGGGAGTAAGTCGACTACCTAGTCTCTCACGAACATTCAGAGGGTTTCACTTTGCTGATGCTGATGTTTAGACTCAAAAACTCGGCGCAATCAGTTATGCACTATCATGGCGAGGCCAGTAAGGCCCTCTTTGGTGTGATTTCCCTTGAGATTGGAGGATCGAATGGGTGTAAGTTTCACAATTGCGATCCTATGGTTACAATAAAAGCAAGTTATATGCTACCAAATATCTATAATAGTCCGCGGGATTCAAGCTGCCGCATGGACACGCCCGTCATTGACGCAAATCTCATGGGTCGTGCTTATCCTAACCTTTGGCAAACAACTCTTACGCGGGCTGGAATTCCAATGACGCCGTGCGCAGTGTCTGATGCCAAGGGAGAACAGGATAACACGTTAGCCACTGTCCCCGATCTGATTACTGTCCTTGACAGTCAAACCGGCAGTGCGGTAGGAACGCAGAATTATCTATATGGACTACACGTTTTTATCATCGCCTTGGTGGCCTCGCCTCAATGGTCTGATGAAGACGAACTCAAGGTTGGCGGACCAGCTGCATTCCAGTAAGTGTCCGGTTGATGGTAGATTGTCGGAATGTCTTTCTTTCTGACATATGGGGGTCAAACCGGTCAACAAGTACAACGCAGTTGACCTGTAATATCTGAATACGGAGGGAGGCTACACATAATTTTGAGAACCTAATACGAGGTTATTCGAATAATTATACAGATTTACATGACAAATATTTGGGCTCAACTGACAGGTATTCTTTGCAATGCTCGACGTCCTTCGTAGGACTATTACACCTGTATGTATAGATCGAAATTAACTTTTACACAATCACACTTAATCTCGCTAGAAGAGAAGCCTAAAATAGCCATGAGAGCTTGAATTATGGAGCATATATTGCGCTTTTACCGTGGGTTATCAGGTTCTTCATACATAAGCACAGGCAAGGCCAGGCAAAGATTCATCAACCACACGAATTCTTTTTACCTTTGCTACGGGCGTTCCAAAGTCGTGTCAATGGCGGGCGAACTAATCTCCTTAGCAGCTTACCACGTGGAGTTAAAAAAGCCTGGTATCGTGGTGATTGACTTTTATTCGCCTTCGTGCGGGCCCTGCAAAGTGAGCCAGCCTGCCATGGGACAGTGAACCGAAGCTATGTGAATTAATCCGACACTTACATATTCGATATTAGGTCGTGGCTCCCCTTTTCCACAACTTGGCTAGCGACGCATCGAATGCCCGAATTAGGTTTTTTTAAAGTATGGTCAACCTGATCTACATAAGTAGGGAACACGCTAATGCTGTATAGGTCAACGGGCTAGATGACGAAGGGTCTAAAGTCCAAGAAGCCGCTGGAGTTACTTGGTGGCCAACTTTCATGATTTACCAAGACGGGCAGGAAAAGTGGCATGCCAAAGTTCCTAACCCTCCGGACCAGCATTCTATTTCCGCGCTGGCAAATGCATTAGAGACGGTGAAAGTGAAAGCTGAAAAGACCCATGGCACATAACCTTTGGCCCCGCGTATTCCGATGCCCTTGATCGAACTGAAGCATTGGGCCCCTCTGTCAGGGGCTTGGTAGAACTGTTTCTTGTATTCAAGCTTCATGAATACCTACTCTGTTTTCCTTTTCCTTTTCTTTTTGGTTAAATGAGCATGAATCATGTAAATAATATTGGAAAGGTCTTCTCCATGGCACAGCAAACGTTCTGTATGAATACACGCACCGCTTTACCACTAAACGGCTTGTTAACTTTATGGGTTGACAGTTTAGAAATCCAAGAATCATTATATTTGGCGTTTTGTGCTCTAATACTTTGCTTGATGCACCCTATCGTGTGTTATAAAGATCCATAACTCTTCCGGGTCGACAAATGCGGTTTGTAATATCACATCACGGAAAATTGTATTCTTAAGCTTCTCTAATCAATGCGTCATGCATGACTTCAAGAGTTAAGCGTGAACCATGCGAGAAGATAGAAGCTACTTCCGAAATCCATTCCACCTCCCCTCCTCCGGCATCAACCCCTGCGGCTCGATTCCAAAGCAATCCATCATCCTCGCCACACTGTGGTCGACCAGCTCTTCCAGGCCCTTTGGACGGGTGTAGAAGGCCGGCACTGCGGGAAAGATGATTGCGCCCAACCGCGAGAGTTCCAGCATATTTTCCAGATGTATTGCACTCAGCGGCGTCTCTCGTACGACTAACACCAGCGGTCTTCGTTCTTTGATACACACATCTGCTGAGCGAGAAATCAGGTCTTCTGCATAGCCAGCCCTAATCGCAGCCAGAGTCTTTACACTACAAGGCGCGATCAGCATCCCGTCGGATTTCCATGATCCGCTGCTCATGGGCGCGGACATGTCGCGGATCGACCAGTTGCGGCCGGTCGCGAGATTGGCCACGTCCTCGATGCACCAGGGCGTTTCATATTTGATGGTTGCATGCGCCCACTTGGACATGACCAGGTGAGTTTCTACCCCGAGGTCGCGAAGAAATTGCAGTGCCTTGATTCCGTAGATGGCCCCTGTTGCTCCTGTCATGCCGATAATAAGGCGGTTGTATCGAAGGTTGCTTGTGGCCGGACATGCGCCCGTTGATAGAAGAGGCGTTTCTGAAAAGCATAGACGGCCTTTCTGTCCCGACTGCGTAGTTGGCGTTATCACATTTGGTAGAAGTCCATTTGGTGAGAGCATACGAGTGTTTGCTGCCCGTCTATAGGCGAACATTTTAATATTTTTCTTAAGAAAATACCTTTCCGGGAGGGCGCGAACTATGAATGGGAATCTTCGAGGTACATTGTGGCTTCTCTCAGCACAAGTACAGTCCTCAAGACACCGTGCAAGCATTCCCTATTAGCTTGCTTAACAATGAGGTGCCTTCATTTACCGGTTTTGATCTGATGCGTCTGAGTTGCATAAGAGCTGCCGACACTCCCGAGCTTCGACGTCATGTAACTACCAACAAACCCGAAGGGAATGCGATGTTAAGCCCACCACATCTGGTTTAAATCCTGTAATATAGGTAAAGACGGTGCCGAGCTATCCGTGGCTCGAGCACTATGTAGTCTGTAGATGGTGTATCATTCTATCCTTTTACCTTCGGATTTGACAGTGTCAACCATGTCGACTCTTGTGAAAGCAGCTAGGGCTCCTAGCATTCGCGCTCTGTCCACCGCCCGACTCATCAAGGACAACAAAGCTCCCCATCTCAATTTCCGCTCGTTTCTTTCTGCTTTGCGTGAGCAAGGTGATCTAGTCGATGTTAAACGCTCGGTCGACCCGAATCTAGAGGTGGCCGCCGTGACTCGTCGTGTTTACGAAGCTCATGCCCCCGCGCCGCTCTTCCACAATGTTTCTGGTACCGATCTTAGATCCGGGCTCTTCAAAATACTGGGCGCACCTGTTGGGTTGCGCAAGGACAAGAGAGAGCTGTATGGAAGAATGGCGATCCAGCTCGGTCTCCCTGTCAGCGCAACGGCGCGCGACATCGTCGAGAAACTTATCGAAGCCAGAAAAGCGAAGCCACTGGAACCGGTGACGGTCTCCGCATCAGGAGCCCCTTGCAAGGAGAACATCCTCCGCGGTGACCAGGTCGATCTTACCAAGTGGCCTATTCCTCGCCTGCACGAGCACGACGGTGGCAATTACCTCGCCACTTACGGCTTTCATATCCTGCAGTCGCCGGACAAGGCCTGGAATTCTTGGTCGATTTCTCGAACTATGCACATCGCGGGTGCGCCGCGTTCCTTGACCGCGCCTGTCATGCCCGGACAACATATCGCTCAAGTTCACAAGATGTGGGCGGATAATGGGGCTCGGGATGTTCCCTGGGCTCTGGTTCTGGGAGGCCCTCCCGCGGCAGCGTTCGTTGGAGGCATGCCTCTACCTTCAGGAGTGTCCGAAGATGGGTACATTGGTGCTCTCAGCGGCAGTCCGATGGAAGTGGTCAAGTGCGAGACTAACGATCTCATGGTGCCAGCGAACGCAGAGATCGTCATCGAGGGCCGCATCAACACCAAAACGAGAGTGCCTGAAGGCCCTATGGGCGAGTACCACGGTTATATGTTCCACGATAATCCTGTTTCAGAGCCCTTATTCGAGGTCGACTGCGTGACGTACCGCAACGAGCCCGTTGTGCCAATCTGCGTGGCCGGCAAGGCGGCGGATGAAACACATACTGTCTGGGGCTCGGCCATCTCAGCAGAGATCCTGGCGGCGCTCCGGGAGGCTGGTTTCCCTGCCGATTTTGCCTGGATGCCTTTTGAGGCTCAGAGTTGCTGGATCGTCGTGAGTGTTGACATCAAGAAGCTCGCGAAAATGAACATCACCAAGGAAGAGCTCTCTCATCGTGCGGGAGAAATCATATTTCAGAGCCACGGAGGCTGGGAGGCACCAAAGATTTTCCTCGTCGGGAATGACGTTGATATCACGGACGCGCATGAGCTGATTTGGGCGGTTGCATCGCGATACCGCCCTGGTGCAGATGAACTGGTGTTTGAGGATCCCGTCGGTATTCCGATGTTGCCCTACATGACAAGGGCGAGCAAGAAAGAGGTTCCGAATCCTGGAAAGGGCGGTAGGAGTGTTGTGAATCTGTTGCTACCGTCGGAGTTTGAGGGAGAGAGACCGTGGGTTCACGGCAGTTTTGAAGGGTCATATCCAGCTGAAGTAAAGGATCGGGTGGTGAAGAGTTGGACAGAGTATGGATTTAAAGAAGAACATGTATAGAGCTTGAAGTCAAAGGTGCTCGTACCTGTATACTTCACAAACTAATTACTAATTAGTTGAAGGTTAAAGCCTCAAGGGGAATCGGTTAGAGCAATGAAACGGACAGAGAGAGCCCTGCGGCGTCAAAGAAGATCTGGTGCGTAAATACCTAGGGCGATGTGCATATAAGAATACCTTACCTCGGTGCCGCTTTTTATAGTTTTATCTGTTGTACCGCGTATACCATTTAGTCAAGATTACAATGCCTGAAAATAGAATCAATGGTGAAAAGAGTGAGATTGGCTTTTTAATCAAGGACCATCGTTATGAGCATTGAAGGCAAAGTGCCAGAAGCTAGCAATTTCATTTGACACAAGGGGTTGAGTTATATTTTCCAATATTGAAAAGCTATTATCACAGCAGAATGGATAAGACGTAAACGAGAGAATTGAGTTGGTAACTGCAGACATCAGTGCAGAATAGCTAGATCAGGAAAGACTCTTTACAACTTTTAGGCACTGACAGCGGCCTTAAGGCGTTGGAAACCGCCTTCTTTGGCAACCTTCTTCTGGAGCTCGGCCATCCGCTTCTGGTCGCCTAGCGGGTCAGTGGAATCTGCGTCGAGGGTCCAGGAGAGCAAGTCGTTCGTGTAGTTTGGCTGGAAGGATGCATCCAGAATACCAAGTCGTTTTCCATAGCCAGTAACCTTCGCCCAGTCACGAGGAACGTTCTTCAAGTCACGGCTGAAATAAGCGAAGGATCGCTCAAAAATCTTGCGATTGAGTTCAGTGCCCATAATAGGTTTGAAATCAACGTATTCTTTGTACGCCTGCTTAGGGTCGGCGATGACAAAGTCCGTAGCCCGTTTAACGGCGCGGAGGAACTTCTTCACCTTTTCGGTGTTTGCAGCCAGGAAGCTGTCGTTGGCGATGTATAGAATTGAGCAGAAACAGCAACACCCCAGTTCAGCGAGCTGATCGATACGAAGCATCTGAACATCATCACGGGGACGACCCTGAGATGCCAGCCACTCCTCTAGCTCAACCATCTGAACGTTCTCTAGGCCAATGCCGGCGTCAATTTTGCCCTCAATGATGGCCTTGGAGACGTTCATGCCGCAACGCACAGCGGTGTAGTCATCCGGAGTCATGCCGTAGTACTTGGTGAGTTCGTCAATTTGGATCTGGTCGTGTCAATTTCGAGGTCCAAAGAGTTGCACTAGAGATATTGCGTTACTCACCTTTCCAAATTCTCCAACGTATCCGATGCGCTTGCCCTTAAGAGTCTGGAAGTCTGTGGTTATGCCGCTGTCTTTGAGATACACCACTCCGGTGAAAGGCTCATCGAGAAGAGAGGCGATCGAGGTGACTGGGAAGTCACGTGCTTTGGCCTTTTTTTAAAAAAAAAGAAGAAGAGTAGTTAGCATTTGCTTTCATCGAGAAAGGTTCGGGGTACACACAGCCAGAGTGTGGATCATGGCTTTCAATCCCATGTCGACCTTGCCGCTGCCGATGATCTCCGTCACGTCAGACGGGTCATTAGGTTCCAGTAAGGCGACTTTGATTCCTTCCTCCTTGAAATAGCCCTTATGCTGAGCGAGGTAGACAGGGGCATGGTACGGGGTCGCATGCCTTGGGAACGTCAGCGGGTGTTTTCTCATGTTGATTGTAAACAAATACAATCATTTTCAGAAGAGATAGTGTAGTGAGTGTATAATAATACGGTAGCCCAGCTTACCAGTTGGTCAAAAAGGTAATCTTATCGGTAGACATCTTGACAGGATTTCACGTCCGATAAGTGAGTTTTCACTAGATACAGTCAGCAAACAACTAAAGACCTCAACAGGCTAGTCTCCAGCACTGTAGAGAAAGCCAAAGAGAGGGAGGTATCAAAGTCACGCATGTCCTTTCGCTAGTATTATCTAGATCAAGTTCAGACAGTATAATCTCAGAACAACTGAACCTGCCATGCTTGGGGGGGTACATATTGGCAAGACAATAATGCATCTCTCCGAACATGGCAAGTCCAGATGAACACCTGTCATGCGGTACAGTGATTGCTATACTTTTGAAAATACCTTGATCGGCAGTGATGATATCCATCACGTATGAGCGCTGCTTGGACATTGCGCGACTCCGACCCATCGCGGGGTCATACCGAATAATCTGGTTGCTAGAGGGATGGAAGATAGGCGTGCGCAATTAGTGTGTGAACAGGCAGGCAATGGGGAGGGCAATTTCAGGGCATACAGTCTTGTTTATTTAATTTCTGCAGGAAACGAAAAAGGTGGTTGTTGACAGTTGAGGGATTTTCAGGATCCGAGCGAGCTTTAAATACAGACCCCGCGGCGCCGGTGAGGGGCCGGGCAGGCTCGGGGCGCTTGCGTATAAATGGAGAAAGTGATTACTTAGCAAGTTACTACTTAGGGCTTGGTCCAGGGTAACCCTAAACCATCTTCCAAGATTTATCGTGACATGCCCAAGCATAGGTATAGTCAATGAGTTGACTAGAGACTATCATAACAAAGCCAGCGAGTCCAGCGTTATTTGAGCGAATCAAGATCAATTACGAGCGCGAAGATTATCCCAGCTAAATTCTGATCGAAGGAAACATGAGCTCTTAGGCTGGGAAATGATGCTCTGATTGGTTGCTTAGCTATGTGGGTACCTAGCCTGTCTAGTACTAGTCAGGCTGTTTAATTAGGTTAGAGCGTGGCTTGCATGTGGCTGTGTGATTTACCCAATGAAGTCTAGAAAAAGATGAAATTAGAAATGTGGGCCTTTGGAGGATATATAATTGGTTGGCTCTGAGAGCTAGCCCGAATAAGGTTAGTGTTACTGTTTCTGCTTCAAAAAAAAAAGAGTAAAAAAAGAGTACTTGGCATGTTTATACAGAGTCCACTGGCAATGACTCACTACCAGTGAGTCACTAGGAGTCCAAGAGCGGTAGGGAGTCATTATAGATATCCGGAATGAGGCCTCACGTAATTGAGCTAGTGAGATAGGTACTTATACTGTCTCACTAGTGCACACTCGTTAGTTATGTCTGCCGACGCCGAGCCCAAGCTTCTGGGCTCTTCCTCAACCGGAAAGCAATACTATGGCGCCAACTCACCCTGGGAAATCAACGCTGGCCACTACCGCGCTGTTCGTGCTGGGAATCTCATCTTCGTCTCTGGCACCACCTCCGCCGACCCCACGTCCCCCCCAGATGCACCGCGCGTCTTCTTTCCTGGGGACCCTGTTGAACAGACCCGTGTGATACTCGACACCGTCTTCAAGGCCATCAAGGCCTTAGGCGGACGCGGCGCCGAGAGCGTAGTACGTTGCAGAATTTATGTGCAAAGGCAGGAAGACACTGGCCCTGTTGCAGCCGCTTTCAAGCGGTTTTTGGGTCGCGACAACGGAACAGATATCGGCACCGCTGCGACTATGCTGGTAGTTAACGGCTTTTGCGATGAGAAGATGTTGGTTGAAATTGATGTTGACGCTATCGCCGACGCGAAATGAGACTGCGGACAGTCCTCCAATTGAGAGAATTTCCGGGATCCAGGCCTAGATGGTGCCACGAGCTCTAATTTATCTTTTCATTCAGTCAACGAGGTGTATAGTGCCTAGGATGGCTCTATAGTAGTCATTCGGATTAATGTCCGGTGAGCAATCCACGACAAGAAGAAAGAATGCATGCTTTTAATGTATTATGAAATCGTCCATGTTTTCAAGAAAACCTTTGTATCTCAGCACATTCTCTCTGCAATTCAGTCAATCATCTTTCGACCATCTCCATGAAGACAGACTTGCTTGCTCTGCCAATCACGGCAATTTCCGAGGAAGTGGGGTGTGTCTTATCGTAGGTATCTTCTGTGATAAACGGCTTAGGTGTGATTTGTGTATCTTCACCAACGCTAAAATAAATGCACAAATCATTGATTGTCTGAAAAGAAGAAGCAGAATGGCGGCCATTACAGACATTCTCGCAGATGTTCCGTCTCGTTTTCGGGGTCCAGGTGGTGCTGTTGCCGTCTTGAAAGATGGCAAACTGCTCGGCCAACAGTGTTGGGGATATGCTGATTTGCACCGTCGAATTCCGATGGCTGCTGACACACTGCTCCCGATCTGCTCCATCACGAAGCAGATGCTGTGCGGATTGCTGACCGACCTGGAACGCAACCCAACACCAGCCATGAGAGCGCGCGGCGAGGAGCCCGCCAAGCAGCTGTCGGACCAGCTCGGTCAACTGTTAGATCCCAACCTGCTGCAAGACACGGGCTTGACGATGCGCCATCTCTGCAACAATCAGTCAGGCATTCGCGACTACTGGGCCTTAACCGTTCTCTGGGGTGCGAAGCCTGAGGGCCAATTCTCGGTCGCTGAGCACGGCCCCAAGATGCTGGCCCGACTGAAGTCTTTCCACTTCGAGCCTGGAACGGAGTACTCGTACGCAAACACAAATTTCTTTATCATCGCCCGCTGTATCGAGCAGGTTACGGGACAACCGCTGGGAGAATTGCTCGCGCAGCGCATCTTCACACCTGCCGGGATGCAGACGGCGAGGCTGTGCGCAAACACTGCGGAGCACCCGGCTCCCTGCGTTGGCTACGAGGGAGACGAGACCTTTGGCTTTTATCCCGGTATCAACCGCATTGAATGGGCTGGTGATGCCGGTATCGTGGCTTCCCTGGCCGATATGATCGCCTACGAGCAGTTTGTGGATCGAAGCCGCGACAATTCACAAAGCTGGTACGGACTCAATTCCGAGCAGCAGAAATATAGCGATGGTAACCCTGCGGATTACGGCTTTGGTCTAGCCCGCCAGCTCGTTGGAGGCATACTGACTGTTAGGCACGGTGGCGCACTGCGTGGATACCGGCTGTCCCGATCGTACTCACCGGAGCTACGGGTCTCTATTGTAGTCTTACTCAATCAAGAGCACGGTGATGCCGGGGCAGTTAGCGACTACATCCTTAAGCGAATGACCGGTGTTCCCGAGGCCAAAAATGAGGTTATCAATCCCGGACCAGACTGGGGTGGAAGCTATTTGGACTCTGAGACCGGACTAGCGATTACCGTGAATAAAGGTGGCGCAGGGGAGCTCCTTGTCAAGTACCATCGCAAACCTGACAAAATGCGAGTGGTTGAGGAATACAAGGCTCAGTCGAATGGTATGGTAGCAACTCTGGACGGAGCTACTCTTCATCTCCACGTTCCTCAGGACAACCGGACTCTCCATGCCCAGCGTGTTGCCAGCGTGAAGCCTGCCTCCAACTCTTCCGAGCTTCAAGGTGATTACCGCTGCGCCGAGATAGATTCCGTTTTTCACTGCAGCGGCTCGGGCGACATGTTATATGGCATGTTTGATGGCTTTCTGGGACAGGGGCCTGTACATATGATGCGTTCACTCGGGGAGGATTTGTGGGCTCTTTCATGCCCTAGAGCAATGGATTCGACGCCTCCGGGTGACTGGACGGTTATCGTTCGTCGGAATGATGATGGAAAAGTGGTCGGTGTCACTATTGGCTGTTGGCTTGCCAGGCGGCTGGAGTTTATCAAACAGTAATACACCGCAACGTATCAATAGTTTGGTGCCTATAGAAGCAATTATGACATTCGCACAACCATTCCACCATTCATTTTCATCATACTGTCGACAGTGGCTGCTTATGAATCTGACAGGATCTGTACAATACGCAAGTTCCTGTCTCCCTCTTCTTCTATCTATGGAGCTGATTGAATCAATCAAATATTATACAAATTTGGAGGTATCCAAGATCTCAAACGTCGAAGTTAAGTTAAATCTGCCCATCATTCAAGATGAGTGGACATTATACCTAGGTACTTTCTGACTCTTGGACACACTGCTGTGGGTCATTCAATTGTTTATCTGATATATATTTGCAAATTACTTTGTCAAAATGAACTTCGCCTAGAGATATCATGTAATTACTGAACTATTGTTTTCAAGTTGCTTATATTGTATCGAGCTGATGCTTTCCATTACATGGGTTGCTGTGCAAGTTTCATTCAGTCGACCTTTGAGATACCACGTACAGGAATGCCTGAGTATTCGCGATCTTCCTAGAATTCAAGAGAGCTATAGAGTACTTGATGCTTTACACTGCGCATATCACCCGTACCCAATCATATCAAAGGTTAGGAACGTCTCACTACGTTGTAGAAGTGCTTGTACCGCTTCTTTAACGCTGTCCTAATAACCCTAACCATTGAGCTCGCTAACCAAACCCAGGCGCTGTATTTGTTTGGCTACTCGGTAGCATCGACTTCGATGCCATTCAGATCACCTCCCCAAGCCTGGACAGTACGCTTTCCTGGCTGCTCAGTGGCATCAACCTCGATACCATTCAGATCACCACCCCAAGCCTGGACAGTACGCTTTTCTGACTGCTCAGTGGCATCAACCTCGATAC